GGCAAAGGATTGGGTTATTTTTTGTGATTACCTCTTCCTAAAGACATCTGCTTGTCCCTTTCATTTTAATAGAGTGGGCATGCTTTGGGTCTCTTCAGTAAAACAGTGCCACATGTTAAGAGCCAAATCTTTCCCATTTTTCAGTTGGCTCTGTTTAGAAATGGCTTAAAAATATGACTACCCAGAGTGTTGGGGCCTGAGTAAGTTTCCATCAGGAAATTTATTTATTAAACTTATTTGCCACCCATCTCGTAACAAAATGACTCTGAAATAGTATGAATATGAATCAGCTTGCCTGTCATTAATTTTATTGTTTATTGTTGTTTGGGTGAGTTGTAAGCCACTTTGAGTCATATTGTTCAAGTTGAACCAGCAGCCATATACATTCTGTAAATAAATAAATACTGAGTTCTTATCCATTTTACATGGTCTAAAGATATTTGCTAGGATAAATCACAAACATATTCATCTGAACTCCTAGGTAACTAGAATGTTAGTTGTAGATAATATAATAATAATAATAATAATAGTAAAGTTGGAAGGGACCTTGAAGGTCATCTAGTCCAACCCCCTGCTCAGGCAGGAAACCCTATACCATTTCGGACAAATGGCTGTCCAGTCTCTTCTTAAAAACTTCCAGTGTTGGAGCATTCACCGCTTCTGGAGGCAGGTTGTTCCACTGGTTAATNCAAGGCATTGTAAAGTGGTATTAACACTTCACGTGATCTTGATTCTATCCCTCTGTTAATGCAGCCTAGCACTGTGTTGGCCTTTTTGGCAGCTGCAGCACACTGCTGGCTCATATTTAGGTGATTGTCCACTAGGACTCCGAGGTCCCTCTCACAGTTACTACTATTGAGCAAGGTGCCACCTATGCTGTACTTGTGCTGTCTTCCACTGGTTTAATACAGTTTAGTTACAACATTCTTTCTACATTTATGTTTTTACGTTGCTCAAACTTACATGAAATCTAAACCCTGTATATATATTGTGTTTCCCTGAAAATAAGACCCGGTCTTATTTTATTTTATTTTTTTGCCTCCAAAAGAGGCATTAGGTCTTATTTGGTGGGGGGGTCTTACCTCGTGGTGGCGGCACTCACAGACCCACCCAGCTGGCCCACTTCTTCTGTGGCTGAAGGAAATACCTCTGCAGCTGAGAATGGAGCTCCGGCTTGCATTTCACCATCAGAGGCCTTTCCGGAAGGCCTCTGCAGCCAAGAACTGAGCTATGGATTCAATCCATAGCTCAATTCTCGGCTGCAGAGGCCTTCCAGAAAGGCCTTTGACGGCGAAATGCAGGCTGGGGGACACTGCAGAAGAAGTGGGCTGGCGAGGAGAGGCAGGCTGCAATGGAAAGTGGGTGTTGGGACGTGTGGGGCAGCTCCACCCTCCCCACCTCCGCCCTAGCTTGATTTTTAGGGTACACCTCACCCCAAATCTAGGGCTTATATTAGGCCCACCCCCAAATATCAAGCTAGGGCTTATTTTTGGGGTAGGTCTTACTTTTGGGTTAACACGGTATATAGGTTGGTTTATTGCAGCTTGAGACATTTAACGGTGACTGGTTGTGAACAGATGTTTCAACAAGCAGGGAAATACTCCTTTTAACCTTATTACAAAGAATTAAAAGGTTTTAGACAATTTGTGAGCAAATAAACATAAGTGCATATCAAGGTTTATTTGTCATTGTTTCTCTTTAATTATGTTTGCCAAAGTGAGTGTCATTCAGTGCTGCTTGGTCACCACAAGGAGATTGCTTTTTAAATTTCTTTTGTTGATCTCTAGGTTAATAGTATTTTGCAGAGTAGATAGACTTGGTTAAGACAATTTAAATGCAGTCTATTAAATGTGAAAATATTAAACTCTTGTTCAGAAATAAATGGAGTTTAGCACCACATTGTTATAGATTGCAAAAGTTTAAAGACTTCAAGTTGAGGGGTCCTTGGTACTTTCTGAGCTTGTTCGTTTTTTTGCAGACACATCATCAGTGCTTTGAATTGGAACTCATACTTGGGGTCACTAATAAATAAAATAATGGTTTAAATATAAATGTCCTTACCCTGTGCTCCCTCCCTGTAATATTTAATGGTTTCAGTCTTCTGGAAGTATAGTAAAACAGAGATTTCCAGAACTTAGTTTAAAAGACCTTAGAAACAATTCACAGAATTTCATTTTGGTCTTAGACAATGGATGGACAAAATCTGTTTAGAAATAAAATACAAAATAAAATTACCATTGTTAATAAAGCAGTTTAAATGACATAATTTTATTTCAGTATTGTGTAATTATATTAATGAAAATGATGTAATTAATAAGTTTTTTAAAGCTCTGCACCAAGCAAAGCTGAATAGTGTTTATGAACTAATCATCTATTACATTCAAATTATTTAAAACTGGGAGTGTAATTTATAATTGCCCAAGGAAAGTATAATTATTCCCCTTCCCCCTTGCAGTCTGGTAACTCATATGGTACAGGTAATTGATTTTTTACTCTTGGAAGACCTGAAGAGCCAGATTGGAGACAGATCATCTTGGAAGAAGTCTAGCTATGTGCTCACTAAGAGCACGTAATCAATCAACTCCACATGTTTCTTTGAAGGGCAGAATATTAGCATTCATTCAGAGCTGAGTCCTTGTAAGCCAATATTTCAAACTGTGGTGAATGTTTATAGCTAAGTTATAAATTGCTGGAAAAATAATGCCTTTTTATAAGTAGCTGTGACAGAATTTTTAACTACTGATCCGTGAACACAACATCACTGCATTCCAGATTATTGTAGCTGTAGCAGTGGGACTCTAGGTCATAAGAAGAATCAATCATTTCAGTTATTTAGTCTTTCAACCTCACTTTTGAATCAAACTTTCACTTATTTGTATGGCATTTTTTCAAATTTAATTTTATCTATCAATACGTCCACTAAATTACCTAATTAACAAATGCATTCTCTAACTGCTATGAATATAAAAAACCTATTATGTATGTGTATGTTTCTTTTTACAATGGAAAGATGTAGATTTAAGATAATGTGTTTATCTTTTAACTGTACAAGTAGAGCAATATTTGAAGGGTTTTTTTTAAACAAAGTAAATATCCAATTACCGTTGAAGCAAAGATTTAAATATTTCATGTCAGGGGACACTCTTGCTGTGAAAAGTGTCATTTCTGTCTCCCCCCCCCCCTTTTTTTTAAATTCCTAGATCTTCCTTTTTGAAATCCACTTTCCATCCACATTTCTAATATTGCCAGAATGACCCCTTTCCCTAGTCACTATACCACCAAGTATAATGTTTATATGCTTCTGTAACATGAGTAATAAGGGGAATCTAGCAATACAAGCAAATGTATATTTTCTGTGCATCACACTATAGTATAATGGTTAATGTATTGGACTTTGATCAAGGAGATCCAGGTTCAAATCCACTTTTAGCCATGGAAAATTACTGGGTAACTTTGGGCCAGTCACGTTCAGACTAATCCATCTCACAAGATTGTTGTGGAGATGAAATGAAGTGCAATCCCCATGGAAGCCCTCTTGAACTTTTGAAAAACAGGATGTAGACTATCAAGTAAATACAATACCTGTTACAATGGTAACTTCTTGTAAATTCCAACTTGACATACTTTCTGGCTTTTCTTTCCTCAACTAAGTTACTTAGAGTGCAAATTTATCTTTGTACTGTGTTCCAAAGTAAGTACAAATGAGTTCATTGGTTCTTACTTCCAGGAAGTGAAATATTGCCTTAGTATCTGGAAACCTTTATACTGAATACATATACAGTGATTATTAGAAAGCACAAAAACATGTTTTTTTATGTTCAACATTATTCTAAAAGCATAACTTTAGTAATCCCTGCAAGTTCATCAGAGTTTTCTGTGAATATATATTGGATTTGGTGGAACCTGGATCCTGAGGCAAAGTAAGCTAAATTGGAAAATTTTAATTCTGCTCGAAGGTGAAGTAAAAAAATCTGAATTCATTCAGTGACTTAACAAAGTTTCATTCTGATTTGTTTTCAAGAAGACCTGTAAAAAGTGCTAAAGGTGAAAAAAGTGGGAGGTACATTTCTTCATGCACTTAACATTAAAGTAGGGAAGATGGAGGGGGGAATCATAATCAGGATGCTCCCTCTGCTTGAGAAGATTTTTACACTTCTCAAACTTTTAAACATTTAAATTTGAGATTTTTAAACAGTCTTACAGGTCCTTTGTACATCGCAGATGACAATCATTTTGTTTTCTAGAAGCGTTATATGAATTATTCATTTAAAATGTATGTGAAATTACCATTCATTTTAAGAATAAGATACTGCCGAATAAATATATGTGGACACAGGCAAGGACAAGACTTTCTTGGTTTCAGTCATTCATTTTAAATAATTGATACCTATGTTAAAACACTTTTTAGAGGAAAGGTAGAATTTAAATAAATAGGGCCTAGGAATATACTAATAAATGTAGAAGATTGGGCTTTGATTTAGATATACTCATTGTTTATCTACAAAGAATTTTGTATTTAAAATGAAAACAATACTCAATTTGTTGAATTCCAATCAGATCTACAATAAATAAAAATTGATATTTAATGAGTTGTGGACTAATGTTATTGTGGATTTTTTATGAGATAGTTTTTTGGGGGATGTTATAAATTATATCAATTAGTACAACTGTATAGTCCTTAGCAACTACTATCAAAACAGTTGATATTTCAGCTGAATATAGGTAGCTTTAACATTGTATGTGGCTTTGTGGATTATTATGCTTGTATCAACCATCTTAAAAGGAGAACATGGAAGAAAAGTGTTAACTGTTTATTTCTCCTTCATATAGAAATTCTCTAAAATATGCTTCCAGATTTCCTCGTAAACAATGAATGTTAGTTAATCAGACATGAGTTCTTTGAGATGTGTACTATATGGATGGATGTTTAGCATGAGATTTATGGAAACAGAAACCGGTTTGCAGTTACCACCAATTAACATTTCACTTCCGATTTGCAGGAATTGGGTAGCCTTGGTGCATTAGGTACAACTTCTGCGCTATGGGAAAAAGAAACAAGAGGACAGCAGATAGTTCGTCCTCTGAAGAGGAGGAGGAATATGTTGTGGAGAAGGTTCTAGACAGGCGTGTTGTGAAGGGTCAAGTGGAGTATCTTCTCAAGTGGAAAGGATTCTCTGAGTAAGTCCAACTTTCCTTCTGACGTGGGCTTTGATCTTTCTTGGTAACAGAGCTCCAGGCAGTGTTTCAAATTAAAAATCCATTGCCGTTTTTCAAGCTTTCCCTTAAAGGAGGAAGGTAAACCCCACAGGTGGGAGCTTGCTTTGCTCACTCCAAATAAGAGTGGCGTGCATCCATTTAAACAAGTGGGTCATGAGGCAAAGCCTGGGACATTAAAATGTGTTTTGGAAATACTGGCATCTGCGTTCCCTCTCTCACTTCACAGAGTTGGTAGTTCCACTTGAGTTATTCACCAGCACAGTTGCTTAAAAGGCTGCATGGAGAAAAAAAAAGTTAATTCCCTCCACTCCACACTATAATATATTAATTCTGCAATAATTAATTCTGTGATCTTAGCTTCCCCATTGTGGACTGGACCTTTGCCCCACTTGGCTAATAAAAGCAGTCAAAAAGGGGACTTAGAAGTAGGATCCAGGCTGTAATCAATAACTCTTTTGAGAGAAGGGGAAATCCTAGAAGCCCATAAAGAAGAACTTCCTTAAGAGACAAGTTTAGATAACAGCAAAATTAGACAAACATCATCTTTCTTTTTTGATTAAGTGGTGGTGCTGCACTTGCAGAAGGCTTTGGAGGGTAGATTATCTTAACCCTTGGTAGTTTGGGTTCAGACCTGGGCATTGGATGGAAGCAAGTTGGTCACTCTTACGGCTGTCCTACAGTGAGTTTTGGATGTGACCATCCTTAGTAGCCTTTGATACCGTCGATCACGGTCCTTCTGGATTGCCTGCAAGGGGTGAGAGTTGGAGGCATGATGTTGTAATGGTTCCACTCCTACCCGAGGTGTCCAGATGTTGACTGGAGGGAAAGAGGTCAGACTTCTAGGCAATTCTGTATGGGGTCCCTAGTTGAGTCCTTTCCCCTATTCAACATCTATATGAAACCACTGGGAGAGATTATCTGTTGGTTTGGAGCAAAGGATCATCTATAAGTGATTGTAGTTCTCTACCCTAGGCATACTAGGAGAAAGATCGAAGTCATGACCTGATGTCTGGAGGCAGTCACAGTCTGGAGAAAAACAAGCTCCAGTACAACCCAAACAAGACAGAGTAGTTACTGTTTCAGAGAATGTCTGATTCCAGGATTGCACCATCTTTGTGCTAAGTGCAATTTTTGGGCCAAGCACACGATTGCAATCAGTTTGTGTTTGTGAATGGCTACTGGTCAAAGACCAGGCGAAGACCATGACCAAGAAGGGCTTTTGCACAGTTTCAGTTGGTTCATCAGTGCAGCTTCCTTGGAACACAGTGCACTGAAGATGATTTCATGCCCTTCTCATCTCCAAATAAGATTACTATGACCTGTTGTACTCGGGGCTGCCCTTGAGGACTGTGTGGAAGCTTCACACAACATGGATGCCGAGTCAGTCACAAAACTGCCTCTATGGCAGGAGCTGCACTGGTTACCAGTAAGTTTCCAAGTGCAATTCAAAACTGATAATTACCTACAAAGCCTTATAATAGCTCAAAACTGGGCATCTTAGGTAGTACCTTTTCCCAACTGTTTCTATCCTCCTACCCAAACAATAAAGAAATGCTTGCTAGGCGTTCCCAACCTATCAGGAAGTACTGCAGGGAGAGGGCCTAGTGATGGGTGTTCTCTGTAGCAGCTCCTTCCTTTAGCATACCTTGCCCCTTTCAGAAGCAGGCAGAGGCATGGCTCTTTTGACAGGCCTTAGGGATTAAGTTTTATCATGGCATCATATTCAATAAATTTAACATTGTTTTAAACATCAAATTAAATTGAGATTTAATTGAATTGCCATTTTAATTAATTATATCTCTATTGCACCATGTGGAAATTTTGTAAGCTCCTGGAACGCTATAAATAAATAATTCAGGCACAGAATTTTGGTATTGGGTGTTAAACGGCATCTTAGATATTTCCGTTTTCACTTTTTTAAAGGACCTTTCTAGCTATAGCGATTAAAGTAAGTTGAAAACTGCAAGATAATGCCTGACAATCTGTGAAGCCAAGATGGGCCAAGCAGAATTTCCAGGATTATGTAATGGGACTTAAAAGAATAGGTAACTGCCCAGTTGAATGTATCAGAGCAAGATAGGCAGAATAATGGCGGTATTTTAAGCACCCAAGATGAACATTCTCACTTAACTCCAAAATAATTGCTCTCAAAGGATTTTTGTGATTGTATGTATTCATATGTATTTGTATCCTGGTTTATTGACCTGGGTTCTGCCAGGTAGTTTTACAGTTCCAAAAGATCAAACTAGGTTATCTGTTTATAGAATCATAATGTACAAGATTCAGATTTGAGGATGAGATATTTAAATGGATGCACACTACTTATTATAGGAAGGCAAATCCATCAAGCCAATATTGAGATATTGACCTACTGTGCAGCAACTGAAGCAGCAGGTCCCTCTGATATCACAGCAAAAAAGGAGAAACTACCTATATTTGGTTGGGGGGGGGAGAGTGCAATATTTCAGTTAATCAGACATACTGAGGTCTTACTCTGTTATCGAGGTAAAAAAGCTGTTGCTTATTAATCCTCCCAGACTTGCTGGGACTTGGGTGGCATATAAGTTTAATTGTTTTTATTATTCTGAAGATGCTTTTATATATATGGTATTTTGCTATGATCTTTATTTAGCATATGTGATCTATATATTGGACACAAATTAGCCTAATTAACCTGTGAGATTTTTTTTCCTTTACCCTATCATGTCTTTTTTCTTTGAGTGGATTTCTTTAATTTCTTCTAGCCTGGATAAGGTGTTTCTTTGAGCCTCAAACATTAGTTTGCTGCCACAAGGTTTTAATTGGCTTTAATAAAGGATTATTATAATGTTATATATTAGTATTTATTTAATATCTTAATTACTATCTTAAGAAACCTAATGTGTAAGATAAGGCTGTCTTCTAACAAATACTTTGCATTTTAAATGTCATGCTGGTCTGGTGTACAGGAAATCCACCTAATATTTGGGAAAATGCCCTTTGCCTGGATATGTTCCATTTGTGAAACTCATTCTTAGAATATGCATTTCTATAATAAGATGTTTTTTATATCAAAGTATCAAAACTGATTTGTAAATAACAGCCTTATGCAGGAATGAGATGGTAGAGAAATAGAACAAATTTCTTAAGCGCCTTAATACATATTTTTGAAGCAAAGACAAACTCTACAATTAGAATTCATCCTTTATATATATATGTACATAATTTTTTTATTAGAAGTTTAAAAGAACATAAAATTAACTTTTAAAATATTCTGAATTAGTGTACAGGTTGTCTTTGACTTGCAACCATTTGCTTAGCAACCATTCAAAGTTAACAACAGCATTGCAAAAAGTGACCTACAACCAATTCTTGCACTTACGACTGTTAAACATCATCCAAATAGTTATACGATCTAAATTCAGGTGCTTGGAAACCAGCATGTATTTAGGATGGTTGCATTGCCTTGGGGCCATGTTGATTAGCATCTGCAACCTTCCCAGCTGGCTTTCAACAAGCAAAATCAATAGGGGAAGCTGGATGAGCTTAATGACCAAGATTCACTTAACTATAGTAATTTGCTTAACACCATGTAAAAATGGTTGTAAAATCAGGTGGGGCTCATTTTATTTAGCAATGGAAATTCTGGTCTAACTGTAGTGTTGAGGATTACCTGTATTATTTGTATCCAATTTTTTTTAGCTTTTTTACACATCCACCGGGCATGATAAAATATTCCTTCATGTTATTCACATTTCCAACAAAGATTTGAAGTGTATATATATATACTCAAGACAATTTCTCCAGTCACAAATATCAATGATACATCATTTATAAAAAGTCCCTTTAAGATTAGAACATAATGTAAATTTTAACGCTTTCAACCACATATTTTCCCATTGGTCTATCTATATATTATAGTTAACATTTTAGCCTATTTTATTATTATATTTTTTCTTGTTCTGTCTCGTATTCCATGTGCGTGGAATTCTCAATTCGATAGTATGAGTTTTATACCAAATCTGGTTTTCAATAAACATGAGAAATAATTGTATTGTTTTGTCATGAACTCCTGGAAAAAAAGGAATTGTTCTTTCATACACTGATTATGAATTATGACTTCTCTCACTTCTCAGTTGATGTTTGTGATCACTGAGTGGGAATGTCTTCAATTTTTCTTCTGTTTGTTATTCTCCTTTCCCCCCCACTGTTGCCCATCTCTTGTTGTGTCAGGGAGCATAATACCTGGGAACCTGAAAAGAACCTTGATTGCCCTGAACTAATTGCTGAGTTTATGAAAAAATACAAAAAAATGAAGGAAGGTGAAAACAAGCCTCGGGAGAAATCAGAGGGCACCAAGCGGAAGTCTAGCCTTGCCAACAACAATGAAGAGATCAAAACCAAAAAGAAGAGAGAGGTGAGTATCCTGCTTGAAGGTCCTTTCCTCATTTTATGACAATTTCTGTTTGGCATTCTTGTATAGGCAGCGCTTTCTGTGTTTTAAAATTTGGACAGAAAACTTCAATTTGGATTTTCAAATAATATCAGGAGTGAAAAAATACCGTTTCAAAATAAAGCCCCTACTTCATTTCTGTTAATTTTTATATGCCTCTTGTGTAAAACTATCTTGTAAAATAGGATGAACTAATTGCCACCACTATATTCTAAAGTAATTGTATTCTAAACACTGTATTTTAAACTAATTGCTGCCACTATTTACTTTACCATTGTAAAGAAAAAAAAACACTAAAGTAATTACAACCTTTAAAATATAATAAAGATTAACAATCAAACAGGGCACTATGTAGAGTAAATTAAGATCTGAAGAAATGCAATTTATCAGTTGAAAGGCTGGCTGAAGCAAGATTCCTAATTGTGACAATAAACAAAGAATGCACGAGGCTAAAGACTTCTGCCTAGATAGGTTCTTCCCTTTTATTATTTTTAGTTTGCTTCAACTTCTTGCAACTTTTGTCTCTTTAGAACAGGCATGTCAAACTGCTGGCCCGCCGGCCAGATGTGTCATGCCAAAACTGCACCCACCCCATTGCCAGCAATGGGGGGGGGGGAAGTCCTGATACGTCGTGGGACGTCAGGTGACATCGCGAGTTTGACATGCCTGCTTTAGAAGGATGAGCTTTGAAAATCTGTAATTTAGGAATCTCTTGAAAAAAGTGTGTAGCCAAATGGTGCTGAAACCTTTGGTGCTGAAATTATAGGATATTCAGAGCAGATGAGATTCATCAGGAATCTGTCTTGGGGTTCTGATGCTACACTGAATTTAGTGCAATGGAGATTTCTCAGTTGCTTTATCTTAGGAAGTGTGCCTTCTCTGTCATGGTACTTGCCGTTTGGAATAGTATCCTTCTGGGGGTTTGGACTTCCTGACCCTGCAATATTCTTTAAATATATGGCTTTTTTCACAAGCTATGGGACAGATTGATGGTGTGCCCATGTGATGCTTACTGTTGGTTTTGGTTGTGATGTTTCCACCTATTATGTTTTCTCATGTTGTTTTTAAGCGTTGTACTGGTTGTACTGGTTTTAATTGTACATGTACATGCATGTAAACTTTCAGTTGAGTAGGCCTTACCAATTGTAATGATAACCTAAATATACATTATATTTATGCATTCATTTATTCAAGTTATATGGTCACCCACTTGCCAGATTATCAAAACACATCTTTACAGGACACTGTGAATCTGGGAAAATTGTATAAACGAGGATCTTATGAGTGGCATTTTATGTCTTGCCATTCCCCCTCTGGAAGAGAAAAATCGTCTGTAATTCTATGTTTGTTACTTTTTTTATAGTCCTACTTGGGGAAAAAATGCCCTGCCCTTTATGGCTGTGCTTGTATAAAATTATGACTAAGTCACTAGAGATTCAAATGTGCACTCTACTGTTATCCCTTGATGAAATCTTGAGGGGTAATAAGGTCACACATTTCATATCCTGCAGATTATTATTAGTGTATTTGGATTGCAGTTTTATAAACCATTATGATTTTCCTTAAAATGTGGGAAGTAAATCTGTCCATTGTGAAATGAGTGATTTGTTTCCTGCCAGAGCTACTTCAGTTCTCTAACATTTTAGGTTGCCATGGTTCCCTGTTCAAGATGGTGCCTCTGTTTTTTTAGAGCAAGTTGATTAGAACAATGCATAGCAGGGATTCATAGAGGCCTAATTTCCTGTTAAGTGCAGAAATCCAAATGAAAACAAATGCCTTTTTAGCTTCTGCTTCAAAACATCCAGTGAATGGGAGTCCATAACATCTGGATAGTTGCTTCCATTATCATTTTTGCCTTTAGAGTGTTTTTCCTAACATTTAGTTGAACATTCCATTCAATGACTTTTAACTTAAATTTAGTGTCCTAAGAAGACTCTTGCATGATATTACCGAGTCATGTAGGTGAGATGGGCAGTGCAAAAATTTGATTAATAAATAAATATCATTCCATGTTTTTGAAGTATGCTTTCATTATTCTCACTCAGTCTTCTCAAGGCTAAATGTTCCTGACTTCTTCATGGTATTTAATCATTGTTATTGACCAATAGCAGTTAATATCCTAAATATACATTCAACCCATAAATTAGCCTTCTGAGGAGGCTGTACAACAGCAGAGAGCTACTGGGAATCATAGATTGGCAGTGAAGTTATTGCTGATCAGATGTGTTTCTGAGCACTGTGTTCTTTGTATACATTCTTCCTATGGCCAATATGTGCACTATTTGATATATGGTATTTCTGGAAAAAATGTGCATAGATAGTTGAGCTCACTTTGCTCTGATAATGTCTATTACAAGGCATTTTTTGCTCCTTTTCTTGTAAGTCAGAAATTTAATTAACTGCTATTCTTATGTAGGCATCTTCTCTAGTACTTAGGTGTGATAAAGAAACTTGAACCTGAGGCTAGTTAGCAAAACGTCTTTTCAGTAGCACATTCCTTGCTGTGTTATATCTTATATAAGATAACCTTGGCTTTACCCTAATATTCATGGCTGGCTGAGGAGTTCTGGGAATTGAAGTCCACACATCTTCAGGTTGTTCAGGTTGAGAAACACTGCACTAATCACTCAATCACTGCAGGGCTGAGGGCAATTTAGAGTGAGGTTTTGCCTGGAACAAGAGAAGGAAAAGAAAGATCAAGCTCACTTTGCTATATTTCCCAAACATTCTTATATTGTTCATAATCACTCATTCTTAAAAAGTTTAATTTGAGCCTTAGAGGAGAGGTTTAATTAACTTCAGAATTCTTCTTCCCCCCTCTGTTACTTTTGCCCATTCATTTATCCCATTCATTAACCAGTGGAACAGATTGCCTTCAGATATTGTGGGCACTCCATCACTGGAGATTTTTAAGAAGAGACTAGACAGTCACTTGTCTGAAATGGTATAGGTTCTCCTGCTCGAGCAGGGGGATGGACTAGAAGACCTCCAAGGTCCATTCCAGTTCTATTCTATTCTATTCTATTCTATTCTATCATTGTTCAGTGATAGTGTTCATCCTAAAAAGTACAATGTCCAATCACCCCATTGATGCTCCCCTTAGTAGCCTGAGTAGTTATTTCTGGCTGATCTTGAGAGGGTATGTTATAAAGATGGGAAAGAGGCCACCATCAAATGAACCAATCTAAAATGGACTGGTGCTGCATTGCTTTCCAGTTTACAGTTACCTGCTATTTTTGAGTAGAAAGACGGGTTTGAACCATCTGCTGCTGGCTTAGGGCATTGGGGACTGTAACATCAGAATTGAAAGGAAAAGTAAGTGGTGCAATAATGGACAGATTTGCGTTATTTGCTGTTTTTGAGTAGTTCAATAGACAGGGTGAGCTATCCACTATTATTTTATTACACTGGGATTGCAGAATCAGAGTTGAGAAGGTACAGTAGCTGCTTGCCACAGTTTCTGTTTCTCAAGTTCTCTTATCCCTATTTCCTATTCCCCTCCTGCGCTTGGGTTGGCACCTAGATAGCAGTGTCTGATACTATTTGTAGCTCAGGATTTTTCTCATTTACCAGTGTTTCTTTTCAGAACTTTTTCCTACAACAGAAGGCTACCTCAGTTTTAGTAGAGCAACAGTGGATTTCCCTTAGATGTCATTTTCTGGAAAATTCTTCCCACACATTACCATATCCCCACAAATACACTGATCACTGAAGTATCTAAAAAAAGCAATCGTGAGTTATGGAATTGGAAACTTAGATAGCACAAGAACCAGGAGCGCAAGGCAATATTAGCTTAGAAGAAAAGTCTTAAGTTTTGGCTAGGTGGATGCTTATATTCAATTCTCTTTATTGTCATGGTTCCGAAAGAAGAAGCTCTTCAAAGAACTTTGATGCATTGTTTACCTTAAAGCAGTGTTTCTCAACCTTGACAATTTTAAGGCATGTGGACTTCAACTCCCAGAATTCCACAGCCAGCAATGCTGGCTGTGGAATTCTGGGAATTGAAGTCCACATGCCTTAAAATTGTCAAGGTTGAGAAACACTGCCTTAAAGAATCTTTTAATTTGCTACATAGCTTTGGCACGTACATAGTGAAGCCAAAATCTGAATTTTCCTCCCCCAGCACAGTGTAACAAAGCATAACTCACTCCTTCATTTAACAGTCATTAATCACATTCTCCAATTAGTTTGAAGTGTGAACTTTCTCTCCCATTATCTCTTGTTACAACTAACCTTGAAAAATACTCTACTGAAATATTATTATGACTAACTAGTCCCCAAGTACATTCTTCCCCCCTCCCTTCCATCAACTATCTAATTTTAACTCTAAAAGTAATACACAGGTTAAATAGAAAATATCTGCATCTTCATACTTTGTCAAGCAAGAACATCCGATGTTAGCAGCATTGACATTTATCTTGTCTAATATACTTTGCAAGGTTATTACAGTATGAGGATATTTGTGCTGTTTTTAGGACAAGATACACTTTTGCCTGGATGAATAGGAAAAAACATATTCAATATCTAGATCCATCCCTGAAAAACAAATCTTTTACATTATTATCCCGTGCTACTTTGATCCAGCCATCGAAACTATATCACAAGATATCAGTTTAGGGTTTTGAGAAACTCTATTGGTAGAAGAGTGATCAATTCTGATTGTGCACATTTGATAGTTTACTAAATGTTGTGTATGTGTATAATGTGTGGCTTTGTTGATTGTACCTCAGCCTCCTGTATTCCTTAGGGAAAGAAATACAGTGAAGCTTGTAAAAAGGACTTTTATAAAAACATTATGGTATCTCAAAATTCTGCAGTGCTATTTGCACTATACTCAAAGCAGAGTATTTATTTGAAGTATTGTTGTTGGTGGTGGTTTTAACTGTTTGTTTTTTCTCTACCTGACCTACCTGACCAGTTGCAAGCCTTTTGAGGAGCCCTAATGAAGGGCTATCTCTGTCTTCCAGCATAGATTTCATTTTATATATTTTATATGTAAGGCAGTGTTGAAGGAAAAGTCTTCATCAGGGTCCAGTCCAAGCCGGGAATAAACAGCATGGCGATTGCTTTAGAAAGAAGGTTGTAGTTTATTGAAGAGGGGAGCCAGACAGAAAGATGGCTCTGGAAGAAAAGAAGAGAGTGAGTGCATGTAGTAGGGAGTAGTGGGTTTTTATACCCTCTTAGGCTTTTGTTTGGAGTTGTTTCCTGTTCCTGTTTGAGGCTTTGTATTTCCTGTGTCATGTACTTTGACCTGAGTCTGAGTGTGCCCCTTTGGCATCTGTGGGTTAATTCTATTATGTCCTGTCTTAGAGTTTGGGTGGGGTATGTAGATTTTAGTGTCTTTGTCTTCCTAAGCTTCTAGCTTCCTGGCTCCAGCCTTTCTGAATGGATTATTACATCTGCATTTCTATAGAGCTGGTTTCTGCTTGGGGGAGGGAGACTTCGGGCTATTAAGAAAACTGGGCATGCTTTTCTGCCTCTTTAAGATCCTTTGAGGAAATATAATATTCTGTCCTTTTAATATTTCCTTCTCGGGGGGGGGGGGTGATTTCCCACAGCAGGTTTGGGGCACAGGAGCAGAATGTAGGCAAAGGTGTGGAATCTTTAACTTACTAAATTTATTTTCAATAATGGAATTTGGCTATGGGAATATTTACCAAAGGGAATATCAGCATTCCCTTCTGCTCAAGTGTTTTAAATTAAAAGTTGCATGATCTGCTTTTTGGAGATCCAAAAATGGCATTAATAAAATGTACATACAAACATATATTATAAATGCCAAACTATCAGTTAAAACCTTCAAATGTAATCAGAGGGGAAAAGAAGTTGTCTGCGTGTTGTGAGTAAAATAGGCAGTTTCTAAAATTGCTAAATATGTTTACAAGCTTGCTTAGACAAAACTCTTGTCTGCAATCACAGGGTAGTGGCCTACAATCTCACAGTGCAGGACCAAATCTTAATGATAGTTACAAATCCTGCTGAAAATACAGAAATTTATAAAGTAATATAATTTAGTCAGCCCATTATCCAATTACTGCTCTGGCTAATTTGTATGTAAGTCTTAAAGAATTTGTTCTACCAACTTGCTGAGTGATGTAGTAGCAATCTTTAAGGCTATACTAATTTTAATGGTTGCTGGTACTTTAAGGAATTAGATATTTTTAAAATGTTCAGAAGCTCATTTCACGTGCCTATTTATCTAAATTGAATGGGGGAAGCTATAGCCGGCCATGTAAAATGCTAAACTACAACTCCCAGTAACTCCAGCTCTCTTGGCCAGTAGAAAGGAATGCTGGGAGTTGTGGTTTAGCTGTATCTTGGAGCTATTGGAGGATTGTAGGTACCCATTTCTGCTGAATCTAGATACATAATTGTTGTTTTTTTTAATTTTAATTCTGCATCAAGTTCTCCATTTTTCCTACCATCATCATACATGTCTTGGGAGGTTAAGACCAATTCATATCTTAAAGTTAACTTGCTTTTTTTTTGAGGTTTAAAAAAAATCCTGCCCCTAATATTAGACATTTTTGAAAAATTTAAAAGGAGAGTGCTTAAATACTTTTGATGGCTTTCTTTTGCAACAGATTGCAGTTGGGAAATTCCTGCCTGCCTGCCTGCCTGTGGGTTGTACCAATCAATTAAATGAGTTGGTTCAATTTTGTTGCAGTTTCTTTTCTTTCACTTATTGTCTTAGGTTATTGTAATGCGATGCTTTTCCTTTTCCTTCTTTCTCACTTTGCAACTGGCTTTTAGTACTTACAAAAAAAAAAAAAAAAAAAGCCAGCCTGTCTGCCTCTGACATGCTTGGGTCTGCATAGCTGCATCTGCTAGGCAGTATGTGCGAGCAACAAATGTGTGGATCTCTAGCAGAATAGCGTGCGGTGGTGGTGGTGGTGCTGCTGCTGCTGCTGCAAAGCAGGGGGAACGCTTCTCGCTCCAGGCTTGCAGTGACTGAAAGCTGTTACCAGCCTTCAGATGGTATGTGCAGAGGGAGCCGATTGACCCTTGTCTGGGGGCCCCCGGAGACTTAAGCTCTCGGTTGCAACAACAACCAACCAAAAAATCTCCCCCCCTTCTGCATGAATGGGACACACCCATCGACGGCACCACCGGCACAAAGACCTCGAGGACTGTGAGAGCCCATAGAGGTGGTGCGCTCTGGAGCGGGGGAGGCGTAGCAGGGATGGGGAGCTTTGGAAATCGCGAATGGCTGCTGCTGCAGCAGCTGCTGCAAAGGCAAGATGACTTAATTCCCTCAATCTGCCCCCATTGCTTTCTTAGTTCATTTTCATGGCGACTTCGGGTCTTTTCCCCCCCCCCCCCGTCCCCTTCCCCGCCTTTTAGGCTTCTTTCCTTCACCTCGACGGTCTCTCTCCCTCTCCCGACGTGTGGTGAAGGGAGAGTGCAAAGATTAATAATACAGGCAGAAAAGATATTAAGGCCTCCTCGGCTGCTAATTACAATCACGCCACGTATGGCATCTGTTTATCACCTGCTTCCGAGTGGCCCTGGAAAGCCTCTGCTTCATGGTTGAGGAGGCTAACAAATGGCTAAGGAATAGGAATATTTTAACTCTTTTTTTTCCCTCTCACTTTCTCTCCCCTCAGAGCACCGATATTGCCAGGGGCTTTGAAAGAGGATTGGAGCCAGAAAAAATCATCGGAGCCACAGACTCCTGCGGAGATTTAATGTTCCTAATGAAATGGTGAGTGTGCTTTATTCTTAATTTTTTTTAAAATAAAAAAATAAATAAATAAATAACAAATCCCGTTGTCCGATAACTGCATTTTTCTTCCTTTGTGAAATAACCAGATAAATTAACCCTCTTGCGGGAGGCACCATGGCTTAATGGCTCAATGGCAGTTCGTTGGCTGGGCTTTGTTCTCCCTGGAGTGGCTGTTAAGCTTCTGCTTTATAAATGCAGTCCACCCTGAGCTTACAAGTCATATGGGTTTTGCTTAAAGGAAGGCAAATTTACTGTCTCCCTCCTTGTCCCCCAAAGTAGAGAGAGCACAGGAAATCCTTCTGGAAAGGTTTTGACTTGCCTCTTGTTTTTGTTCCTGGGCTTATCTCGGCGGGAAGCCTCTCTGCAGACAGACAGGCAGGCAGCAGAGAGAGAGAGTTGGCTGGGCTGCCTATGCAGCAGCTGCCCCTCCCCCAGCAGAAGCCGAGACAAAGAGCAGAGCCTGGTTTATCAGCCAGACAGAGGTTATAGCATAGCTGCCTTTAAGAAAATTGCCTTTCCTCCCCCCCCCCCCCCAATTTTCCTCATCCCCGACTCCCATCAAGATTCCATCTTAGAAGAGCAGGTCTTCCCCCACCACAAGGCACGGGAGAAAATAAGCCCTTGTCCTCCTTTCCTGTCTCTAAAGCTGGCTGGGCTGAGATGGATGGGGCTGCTGCTCCTCCTCGCAAGATAGAGTGGGGGCGGGGATCCAGCTGCAGGCCGCTCTTCAGAAAAGGAGGGGGGGGAGGGAAGGAAGAAGAGCAAAGACTAAAGGGCTTGGTAGTTTTCCACCATCGCGTTTTCTTTTGTTATGCGACCAAACGCTGGGGGCTGTGAGTGAATGCAAACAGGTTTACCGAATTATCCTCTAAATGGTCACCATTCCTGAAATGGGCCACTCCTGTTACATCACCTGAATTGCAATTATAATTTAGTAGTGATTGTATACTTTTGAGGCCCTAATTTTCAATTCCCATATTATTGATCAAAGTAAGATCTAAAATGCTTACTGTTTGAATGTCTAGGGTTATTGCTGTCAGCTGATCTGAATTCTGAAGGACAAGAAATGTATTCAGTAAACTAATAGCAGAGTAATATTTTAGACAGTATCCTGAATATATAAAGCTGTTTGCTGTACTTACTGTATATAAGAATTACAGTAATTACTATAGAAAAGTTTTCACGTTCTAGTGAGTTAGATTGCTTTTACTGATTTATAAAAGAACTGAATTTAAAAGAATGAGACTTGGCTCAGGTTTAGATTCAAACCTAGGGTTTATAGGCCAGGACCAAATTATCCCTTAAGAGTGCATTTGCACTCAGACCAGTAAATTAGCTAGTTCAAAAGAGCCTAATCTCCTAAACAGTGGAATTAATATCTAATACAGAATATTCTTAGAACAGATTGCAAAGTTCAGCTATACTAATTGTAATTAATTCTGTGTTGTGCATTAGATTATTTTTTTAATCTTACCTTTGAAATTGATGTGCTCTATGTTTATTAGTAATACATATTAGCTATGTTGGCTCTTTAACTCAGTTATTGAATTAAGGTTGCAGTCCTATTACATTTGCTCTAGAGAAAGCCCAGTGAAAATCAGATTTTCTAATGAGAATGTTATCAGAAAGCAATTGTTTGCAAATTTAATAAGCAGTAACCTTTAGCTGTAAGAAAAGCTATATTTTCAGCTCTGTTGGAATATGAAATACTGTACTTATTGCTTTTTAAAAAAAAACAGCAAGGAACAATTGTAAAATCTTGGCTTAAACATATTTGTATTGATTGCCATTGAGCACTATTAGTCTTAGTTACTGATGATGATTGTAAAAGCTTTTCCATTACAGGTTATAAGTACTAATGTTGGAGAACATATTTTTTAAAAAATCATCCTCTAATTTCTTTTAACAGAATTGCTGGCATAGTTATGGGGCATCCTGTTAGACAAGAATTCTTGTCTCAGAATGTGTGTTCGTCATTTGTGCCCATGTAATTAAATGGGTAAAGATTAATTTTAACGAAATATTTAGTTGAGTGCCATTAATTAAAGTTTACTGCCTTAATCAGTACTACTATTCCTTGAATGGTAGTTAAGCAGGTAGGGAAGCTGTGAGTGGCACTGAACAACAAACAAAACTAATAAACCAACTGATGCTTTTTCCATTAGAATTCCTCATCCAGGTGTCACCCAGATATTCCCTACAGTAGCATATTGGCAGGGATTGTGGAAGTTATAGTTGAGGGCAGATGGAAGGGACCCAGTCTGCATTATGAATTTATTCCATGCCATCAACTTCTGTATTGACTTTTTCTGAAACATAAAATTGGTATAAGTTTCCTCAAAGTTCTTAAATAAATCAAAAGCAAACCATAGAAAATGTGTTTGGATGGTCCTTCAGGAGACATTTTTGTGGTTTTCTTTTTTATGTGCCATTAGTTAACACCATGGACTGCATTATTTGCTATTGCCTATTCTTATTCCTTAAGGCAACCTTATATTTTACTTTTCTGTTTGGTTTGCTTAATGTTTTTGAAAGTTTTTCATTTATCTGTAGAACTTTTTCATTTTATATGACTTCATATTAAGATTTTAAAATAGAAACTAAGTCTTTAAAATATCTGTAGAGACTTTGCATAAAGGCACAGTCCAAGGCCATATGATTGATCAACAAAATGAAATTTGGATATCTGCGGGAATGCCCTGGGGAATGTGCGGCATTGTAAACATTTAGTGTACTTTTCTGTCCTTGAATATCTTTATGGTATCTCTTCGTGAAACTGGGCAAAATTGAATAAAAGTTTCCAAAGATGGGTGCCTCTTTAAAATAATGCCTCTGGAAAATGGGTATGCCTTTCAAAAAGAGGCTTGCTGTCTTCAACTCATTTGCACTAAAAATGTGCCATTAAAACGTTCAGTTTAGTTAATCAGAGGCATAATGTTAGTGAACATATTTTTTTAAAGATAGATTTTGACAGATTGATTTTATTTTGGCATCTTACTTGAAAATGGAAAGCTCCTGTAAACAGTTAAAGAGGAGGTATCTCCCTATGTTTCTCTACAGCAGTATAGAGCCAGGGGTAGGCAACCTTGGCTCTTTTAGGACTCGTGGACTTCAACTCCCAGAATTCCTGAGCCAGCATGGCTCAGCTTGGAAACCTCTCCCTTTCCCCTCAGCATGGCTGGCTCAGGAATTCTGGGAGTTGAAGTCCACGAGTCATAAAAGAGCCAAGGTTGCCTACCCTGATATAGAGGATGCAATGAGATTTCTTTTTGAATGTTAATAGCAGTTACGAAACCAGCCAACTTTCTGCAGCATTAGGTTCATCAGTTTCAAAGGATTGGATCCACTGGACCAGCAGTGTCATCTAGTTAGCAACTAGGACAAAAGAAACTGCTGGCAGTATGTGTCCATAAATGAATTGTCCAGAAGGAGCAGTTGCTGATTAAAGCAGTAGCATATTCATATTGAAACATACAAATTATATGATATGCAGCAAGTGTAACTAAAATTCATAAAATCAATGGGTATCGAAAACTTTACAATACCTGCCTCCCATCATAATCCCAAGTTAATTGGCAGTTCAGATACCTGTTTCCTGGTGTCTGCTGTTGGTGCTGTTTCCATTATAAAATAGGTACCTAAACCCTTGTTTATTTTTTATTGTACCTCCTTTTGGATGGAATGTTTTTGCTTAACCAGTTAGTGACCAGTGCTCCTTTTGTTGCTTGTTTCTCTTTAGGAAAGACACAGATGAGGCTGATCTGGTTCTAGCAAAAGAAGCCAATGTGAAGTGCCCTCAAATTGTGATAGCATTTTATGAAGAGAGACTGACCTGGCATGCATACCCCGAAGATGCTGAAAACAAAGAGCGGGAAGCAGTGAAAAGCTAAAGTGGCTGGGGTTCTCTGTCCATCCAGAATTGTACATATCCGCCATCCCTTTCCCTCTGCCCAAATGCATCCATGGAAATGTGCTTATTACTGTGCTCGACAGGAGAAATGTTGATATTGGTTGGTTTAGTCATAACATAAATGGTGTGAGTCACGTTTGGTTTCCCTCCAGGAGATTGACATGCCGTGTGTGTTCTTCTATCACCTCATCATAAATAACAATAATGGTTTTTGTTTTTAAAGCTCCCTCGGAGCCTCCAGCCTTTTCTTCTTGCCTGGCTATTTAGTTCTGCATTATCATGTTCTATGTTAGAGAATTGTTAACCATCATTGTTACTGATTTAAAAATGGCAGGAGCTCCCCGAATTCAGGACAGACCCAAGTTTATTTCAAAATTGCTAACATGTTGCTTGAATTGCATTCAAAGATGCTAGGTAGCCATTTTCACCCTAATTTTCTAACTTCAGCTCAAAACAGTTACCTTTTGGAGAACAAGTAGAAATTAGTTGGCAAGGATAGCATCTTTTGAACCTGTCCCTTCTCATTTTACTCCTCTTGTTCCTTCTCATGTCTCTTACCTTATTACTGGTGCTATTTGCATGACATGTTTAGTTAGATTATAAGGGTATCTAATTAATCATGTTGTGTGTACTCCAAAAATTGAGTTAGTTGACCTATAACCTATAATGGCAACAAATTCCCCCCCCCCTATTTGCTAGAGAATTCACTCCCTCTTTTAACAACTGTGATCAACATGTAGTCCTAGAGAAGCCCTATAAAAATAGAGCTTCTGTGGGCCTTCCATTTCTATAGTCGTTTTGATTTTTCATTCATTGCACTCCAGGTGTATGTCTGAAAAGTGAGCAGATACAGTTGGGATGTGTAACTCCATGAATCTGCAGTGACACCAACCTTAATTGCATTGTGGCAACTCGATTTACTTTCCCAGGGAATGGAGGGTACAGCATGAAGTAAGAAAGAAAGTGATGCTTCCTGTGAGGACTAAATACAGTGTCACTGAATGATCATCTCTGTCATTTGGGATCATGTGCCCTGAGTGTGCCAGTGTGAATTAACTGGCTTAAAGAGAACTGGATCATTCATGTTGCACAAATAGGGCCTTTGTGTTATGTAGGTAAGTAGATCAGCCAAACATAGTGTCATACTTGGAAACTTAATTCCTTAATCCAAACTCTGGTTCCAAAATTCTAATTCAATTTGTTTCTGAGATCTTAGTTGTTTCTTTAAAGACTTCCCCACCATATCCTCTGCTTTTGCATTCTAGTATGTCAATCTGTTATTTTCAGAATAAGTATTCAAGTATATTTTCAGAGAAAATTGCCAGCTGAGCATAGTTATCTCTGGCTGCATGGCTAGAACCGCTCAGAAAATGCAAAAGTCCCAGGCTGGCATTTTTATTCTGAACAATTGACAGTTAAAATACATAGTGAAAGGAATTCCACAGATAAAATACATTTATTAGCAATTTAGCTAGAAATACCATGTTACAGAATACAAGGCCGTTTTGGATTGCAAATCCAATTGTGCTTCATCACTGACTATGCTGGATGGGAAATGGGAGTTCAAGAACATCTGGAGGGTCACACATTTGTCTGTCCCTGGTTTGGAATGTTGATCCTTACAAATGTTATTTCAGCAGTGGCTTTCCATCTTGTTCTTCGGCTTCAGGACAGGGTAACGGGATTTCATTTTCAAGTTTCACTGCTGCAGACTCACTTGGCTGCATCAGTTTTGAAAGGTGCCAGTCTCTTACTGCAGTTTCTGGATATCTCCTAATAGAAGGGTCCTCCATACTAGTAAGATTTGATAGGAGCTTGGATCATTACTGAAATAATATGGTGCAGGCTACTTTAAAATGGACCTTGGTCCTTATCATTTATTTCAGAATCTGAATTCATGCTCTTTGGTCTCTGCTACCTTAGCAGTACTCATACTGTTTTGTTTTGCTTTTATAGTGAGAAGAGATGTGCTACCCATGCTTGATCAGAAAATCCCACCACTACTTACTTCATTTCTGCATTGTTGAATTTCTTTCCTTTTGTTTAGCAAGCAGATGAAGTAGGTTGCCATCCTTCCATTTATGCATTCTGCATCCTGCTAATAATCTGTCAGGAATTGCAACAGGGCATGATATGATGTAGTATGACATGGATTACATCTGTGACACAATTAATGATTCATATGTCATTAAGCCCCATATCTTGCTAAATGCCCAGCATCAGAAAAGTGTGGGCATTTTTGTTTTGGTGGATTTCCTTTGATTAAATTGATAGGTGTACTTACGTCAACCACATCAAGATAAAACATTTATGAAACATGTATTCTAATTTGTTTGACTCATGATATCATTCCATGTATGTAGTTTAAGAACCTATTTTGCAACCAGTCCCATCTTTCAGTGGTTTTGAGGCAGGTTTGCCTTTAAGATTTAATTTGAAGGGGATTTTGTTGAAAGAAATGCACTGCTGCAAAAAGAACATAAATTAATAGAAATATTTCTTTTCTACACTTATTATTTGGTACAGTCATTTTCAACAAAAGAGATATGTGAAAGTTCAGACTATAGATTGGGCATTAGCATTGCATTTCTGATTCCATTTGAAAGCTGTCATACACAGACAGAAACATAGCTGCTGCGTTTGGCTAATGGCCAGCTATTGCTCTTGAATCCCACTGAACTTAATTTTTTACTGCATTAGTTCTTCAGTGTGGGGGGTGGTGGTATTTTCATTCATCTCTGAATCACATGAGCTGGAAGAGGACAGCAGTTGCAAAACAGGATTTGGGAAGCTATATGGATTTAACAGTTTGTTTGCATGTGATTTGTACCACTTACACGTTGAATAAATAATTACTTGAGGGGTTTTTTTTTTAGTCAGCCTCAGGTTCTGATTTTTGCATGTGACTCTCAAATGAGAAAAATATCCCTTTCATCCATTATACTTCACAGAATACTAGTTATCCTGCCCCCACTCCCTTGGAATTCTCTAATTTCTGTATGACAGCTGAGGAGGTCAAATTATTATGTATTGTATGACTACTATCAAGGATAAAAGCAGTAGAGATGACAATTTATTAATAGCCATCTGTCTAAAATGAAGCAAAACATAAAAGCACCTGGATGCTCCACATCTCCCTAAAAGGAAGACTATTCTGAATTCTAGCTCCTTCAAGAAAAGAACAGAGAAAAATAAATACAATATTCAAGTTTGTGCAGCTTACTACATACCTACCTACCTACAAATTGCTAACTCCAGCAGAAAGCAGTTCTGAAGGTTTTCCCTATTGCACATACATGTGCTTTTGTGAAACATACATTGACCAGAACCCATCCCCCAACAAGGACAAGACCAGGACAAAAAATAAATTGAATAATTAATGATTAAAAATAATTGCCTATAAAACAAGGTACCCATTTCTAAAATTAAATGATTTCTGTGTAATACAAGTCCACCATTCTGCAAACAAAAGGATATATGCATTCATGAGACCATTTTCTTCCAGCAAATCACAAAAATAGTGGCAATGGAGTAAAGGGGAATTAACACTAGAAAGAACAATGGTAAACCAAACTGGGTGGGGATGGAAGAATGGAACGAAAGAATAGAGTATCTGGAAGGAGTCAGAGGAGGGACAAACCACCGCCATTCCCTGTCTTAAGGGGATTGTAGAAAAATACATGTGAAGTTCAGGGATAAAGATGGCAAGAAATGTGTTGGCAATAATTTAAGCTTTTAAGTAACATCTTTCTGGGAGAATTAAAAAACACTTGGCTAAATACAGTATTTTGCATGCCTGGCTGAGGAATTCTGGGAGTTGAAGTCCATAAGTCATAAAAGGGCCAAGTTTGAAGACCCCTGTATCAGAACCAGAAAAAAAAATGCCCAGACATCTGAAGAGTCTGCTGAGAGCAAGAGTCACATACAGGTAGTCCTTGTCTTATGACATTACAACAGACTGCCCAGGGTACTTTTCAGACACTTGGCAACTGACCTGTGTTTATGATTGCAGTCTTGCAGTTACATAGCTGCGTTTACTTCAGATTTTTGGCCCATAGCAATCGGTTGGTTCGTTTAAAGACCACTGCATAAAATTGGGTCAGTCACATGGGTGGCATGCTTTACAACCATCCTGACTTAACAACCGTAATGGGCAGACTCCATTATGTTGAAGACTACCTGTATTTGCCTCAGAGCCCTATCTCCCCTTTAAAGGCTATGTGTCTTTAATAGTGGTTTCTTTCTCTTCTCAAGCACTGGCCAATGCTCACTCGTGATTTAATAGCATCACGTAACAAATTTCAGCCATCATTGAGGCACTATAATTTGTCCTCATTATTGTTACATTGACACAATGATGCTCTAAATCACTCCTGGGGATTTCACCCATGCCTCAGTATGTATCTGCATTGTCTGTATTTTGTGGAAGTGGGCAAAGTGGTAGGAGTGTTGAATCTGGAGCAAGTGCTGTGGATGATTGATAGTTGCCATTCCTTTCTATGCTGCAATCCTGTAAAGTCAAGTCTAAGATGGAGAAAGTCTCTGCTGTTACTAGAGTATTAGCTTTCCAGTTCGTGTCGTTTCAGGTATTTTGGCTGGCATTGCCTCTCACCAGCTAAATTCATTGGGCAAGCCAGAATCAAGTTCAATTGCAGGCTAAATAAGAGACATTTCCCAAAGTGTTGAGGAACCAACTCTGATAACCTTTAGGTATTAAAATCCTGCTACCTTGCTGATTTTACCCTTACTTTATTCTCAAATGTATTGGAGAGAAAGCTTAAGACAGCCTTGGAAGTGCACCTTTTCCCCCCTATTCCTGTATGTACCAGCCTAAAAGCTACCTTCTTTACCAGCAGCTGCTAATAGAAAGAGTTAACATGGAAGACTTCTGTGATTACAAGATTACTTGTGTGCCAGGCTAAAAAGAAAAGGGCATTTTAGGAAATTGATAGTGACAATGCTGTTATTAGTAAAAAAAATAAAAGAAAAGAAAAAAATTGGCATTTCTCTTTCTCTGGAAGTATTTGCTAGGATTTTGAGATGGACTAGTGCATGTGTGTTTTAAATGCCTACTCTTGTACGGCTTGTTCAATGCATGAATGTGACTGATTTGTTGCCATGTGGGGAGAATTATTAGAATAACTAGCATACAATCTTGGCCTTCCTCCACCCTCAACTACATAATTTAAAATTTTATTTTGGACGCACCATTAATATAAAGTAGCATACACAGGACCTTTCACCATTTGTCAAATTTAATGAACATCAGAAGGTTCTTAAGAGTTCTTTGTCAAACAAATGAAACAAAAATAGGGCAACTTGACACTTGAAGAATTGCTTTAGCAACTGCAGCTGAAATGCTAAAATGCTAGTTTTCTCTACTGGCAAAAGTGTAAGTACAGCAACAGCTGTTCCACAGTGTGACCTCTGTAATATGGTGTAACCCAGGCATGTCAAACTTGTGGCATCACGTGACGTCGCGCAACGTATCGTGACTTTTTCCCCATTGCCGGCAATGGGGTGGGCGCGGTTTCAGTATGATGCATCCGGCAGTTTGACATGCCTGGTGTAACCCTATTCAAAGGCTCTTCTTTTAAGGTAAAGAGTTCTTTTTTCTAAACTATTAACAAAGAATGCCCAGATTTTTTTTTAAAGGAAAAAATGTTTCACCCTTTAGCTGAAGATCCTGTTAAGTTTGCCTTTCTTAGTATAGTATAGAACTAGCCAGCTGATTCTAAATTTCCAGGATTTCTAAGCCATTCATGCTGCATTTAGGTGGCTTCTAAACTGATCCCACCTCCTCATTTTTTTTGGCTCCTGGTCTAAATGTTTCAATGGCAAAAAAAAAAAAAGCTTTTTGGTGTCAGCTTTTTCGCGTCTTCTTGTGTTTGGAAGTTGTGGGGATGGGGTATATGTGTATGATACATTGGGAGGTTTGAATCTTGGCTTTCTATGTGTCTGTTTAAATATTGCACATTTTAAACTGACTACTACTATGAATTTATCAGAATTTAAGTTTATGGTAAAGGCTGCAATTATGTAGGTGCAGTTTTCTGATGCAACACTTTCTTAAGAGGCTGTCAAACATAAATTGTTATCCTCGGTCACCTAAGCATGGATTAAAATACAAAGAGAATTAATTTTGTGTTAATTAAACTCATTAATTTTTGATTAACAATTTAATTTTTACCCAGGTGGCATTTAAATCTTCTCTGCTGTATGGGCTCTAATGACTTTTGTCTCCTCCCACCAGCAGGAAGAGGAAGAGGAGAGAGATCAGCCAGCCAGCACAATTTGAATTGTCTCAGAACCTCTGTACCACTGCTGCCTTTTCTTTGTTTCATGTGACCGCTATTGTTTCATGTGACCGGCTAGCTATAATTTTTACCCGTTTATGCCATTCAATTTGGTATTTAGCCAAAATTGGTCATGGTCCTTTTTCTTTCTGTCTCTCTGTCTCTTTCCATCTCTTTCTCGCTCTCTTTTCTTTCTTTCCACTGGGAACAACTTCTCTGCAAGTTTTCTAGTGGACAAGGGACCTCTGAGATAATACCTCACTCCACTGCCTCAAAAGCAAACAGTCAGATTTCTTTCCTTCCGAAAAATGAAAAGAGAGCTGGCATAAGGAACTGCTCTGCTTTTGATTGAGCTTTTTTGACGGCTTGGATCCAACTGTGTCTCTGACAGATAAGACTGCATGAATTCTTCACTCTGGGTCGATGCCACAATTCTTCATGCAACGCTTTGAATCATTTGCAAAAGTATGTCAAGTTGCAGCTTTTGCTTGCAACAAAGAGTTTGGAAGATTCATGAACATCTGTTTGGATCCAGGTGAAAACACAAGCCCAATCATGTGCACAGAATGTGTGAAAAGGCCTTGGAGGTTTAATGCCCCTGGTGCTGGTTACAGAAATGAATCCCTATGATCAGTATTAGACTCCTGATGAAAAAAAGAGAAAGATGGTGTGTTAACTCTTCCCCTCCCAGCCCAGCAATATGCTGCCCTCCACAACAGAATGTCGAACTTTTGGCTAATGGTGTCTCTGTGCATGTGTGTTAGACCTCTTTGGGGGTAACATTTTAGCCCAGCCTTTTGATTCTAAACTAAAGTAGGTTATGCTGATTTTTTAAAGTGTGAAAATAATTTTTAAAATGAGCTCTTTGTTGTACAACCTGACATGTTACAAATAACCCTCTGCCCCATGTTCCTCATCTCCGCTCTTTCATATTTCTTGTATCGGTTCTAATAAATGGTTACTTTTCAGTACAGGCTATTGTCCTTTATTCACTCTTTCCCCTTTTTATACCCCTCAATATTGTCTGAATATGGTTATATTTCATATGCTTTGTTGCTGTTTAAGATATGGAAAGTAGTCTAGGTCCCAGAGAATTTGACCAATTGATAAAGCATAGCAGTAGAATTACGAAAATTTAACTGTTGGCTTGTGGAGTTGTGCAATTGCCATCGTACAGCTGCCAGTAACCTTTAGCTTTTCTGGAACTGAAACAGTTTAATTCCATTGTTCCTTATTTTTTAATTCTCCCTTTCCTTCTGTGATTGCCTTTCTCAACCAAGTGCTCTCCAGATATTCTGGCCTCTTAACATCCATCGAAAGCCACTTTTTGTCATGCTGGCTGAGAATAACCGATAGATTTGCAGGTCAATTGCATAGCATTGGTAGCTTTTAGCTAATAGCATCTGAGGATAATAGCTAACGATTGCAGTTCTGTGGAAGCAGTTTTCTGAGTGGACTGCCCTACTGCCATTTTAGAGTCATCCTTTTCTGATTGTTGGGTACTAACAAGATCAATATATAACCTTCGAATGAAATAGATCTTGAAACACCAATTTGTGTATGTCTG